TTAGGTTTAGGGTCAAAGGGAAGTCAAGGGGGAAGCAACATTTTTCGGGTTTGACTTTGACTCCCCAGCTCGATCGAGTTGAAGCTTGGCCGGTCGAGTTGGTGAACTCGACCGGTTGGTCGAGTGGACGGTCGAGCTGGTCTTCAAGATGGCTTCTCCCTTCTTCCTTTGCGTATCCAGTTGAGCTGCTTCCATGTGCCAAGTCCCTCCATGCTCCTTGTGTCCCATATGCTCCAGAATGCTCCAAAAGACCTATTTCAAAGGACCAAACATGCATATGTATGCAAATGCAACCTAAAACTAACATGAATGCATAAGAAGAGAAAAGGAACAAGATATGATGCAAATGAAAGCTAAAACTATGCAAAAGATGCATAAAAGATGTGCTAAAACTATGTAAAATGCAAGTACATCAGGTCTACATAGAGAAATGCATTGGATAAGCTACATCGCCACGAGTCGACCCAAAAGATTAACCATCTTTGGTCAAATGCTGAGTATTGAGTCTAGTTGGAGTCCCACCCAAGTCCCACCCATGTTTCAAGAAACAAAGAATCCAAAAAGGGCCGCAACACAACAAAATCCGGCCATTGGAACACTATTGCACAAGGCAAAGGTAAGTAACACTTCCATTCAATTGTCATTCCTTTTAAACACTATTTCTATCATATTAAACCAATGGACACTACTTGGATCTCTGATCAAGACCCCAAGTACACATGGTTTACACGATCAAGTCTTTGATTGGGACGTTCAAACCTTTTTGAGCATCTCAATCATTGACAGAGATTAACAAAAAGAATACTAGTATTTTTCAGATTACAATATGACAGGAGAACCGGTTCAGAACATCAAACCAACAAGGCGAACAACAAAAGCCACGACCGGCCAAAGGAGGAGACCCAAGGAAAACATGCGAGACTAGGCGACGCCCTACCAAATTCGATCCATGAGGGATAGAAAAACAGTTCGGTCGCAGCAGAACTCAATTGGCCCGAGTAAAACAGGAGATATAACACTTACAACCACTCTCTCGGCCAATATCGACGAACCAAGCGACCACACTCGACCATCTCACAAACGGCACGTCCGACGTCCACCCAACTTCACAGGCGACCTCAAAACACAATTTTTGGTCGGCAAATCCAAAGGATAGGACGGGAGAAAGTGCATGCATTTTGAGATGGACGAGGAGTGTCAATACGGCCGACGGCGATGCATCACATGGCCGATAAACTCAAAATCAAAGGAAGGCGCGAACTCCAGTGGAAACTGATTCGTTGGAACATAAAAAACACCAAGGAAGAAGAAAAGAAGGAAACGATCGAACGGAATACAAGACGGCCGGAGGAATCACATCCCGAAGCCATTGGCGAGCACATTCAAACATCTCCGAATCCGCCCGTTCGAACAGCCTCCAACTTCACAGGGAGCCATAAAAAATAAGGTTGGTCGATGAAATTTCATTTCAGTACGATGAATTCCTTCTAGTTCAAGAGATGGCCGAAGGAGTGAAATTTGGCCGAATGCGGGCATGTAAAATGGCCGATAATACGAAATGACGGCATTTAGCGCGGCCACCGGCTAAAATCAACTCCATTAAGCATCTGCATAGCATCTAAGGAAGAAAATAGAGAATGGAACGTGCAGATTTGGAGAAGGCCGAAGGAAGACGTTCCCGGAGCCGCTTTGAAATTGTTTCAAAGAAAGCTTCAAATCACTCGTTCAAACGACCCCAAACTTCACCAGTCGCCATATTATACCCTATTGGTCGATGAAATTTCAAGCTGGGTCGAGGACATGATGATAGGATTTTGTGTGTGTGTGTGATATGAAATGAGGTGGTATGCAAACAGGGGTGAATAAAGATGATATGGTATGGTGCAATCACAATCAATCAATTCCTCTTAACCATCATAGTCATTGAAGTATAAGAGGTTATCAATCCAAAATGGGAACTTGTTACTCTTTGAGAGTATGAAACAACCTGAAAGTCAAGCAAGCAGTTATAGATTTGAAGTAACACTAACAACCTAAAAATAATGAAAAGCAGTGCAATAAAAGTAAACAAAGCAGTGAAGCGTCAGCTCGACCAAGAGCTCGAGTCGAGCTAGAGCAAAGTACCAGCTCGATCGAGTTTAGGGACGAGTTGAGACAAACAAAGCTAAAGGTGACGACTTTAACAAGATAAAGAGAGAATCAGGGTTCAAGACAGGGTTTTGCAATCAAAGGAATCTACACTTAATCAATCTAGCTCTTAAAACTCCTTGTATCAAGGCTTCTCTTGATATTGGGCTTCTCAATGCCTAGCCAACCCTTTCCCAAGGTGGAGGCTATCAACCAAGGAATGATCTCAGAAACAGGGGGTTAGCCAGTGAGAATCAGACCTTGGAGGCTATAGGATCATTGCCCAAACTAATCCATCCAACCCCTTAGACCTCTATTGTCTAGAGCAAGAGATATTGGAGCTCTTAGTGGATCTTTTCCAGCGAATGCCATCACTTTCGTGTGGGGAGTCGCCTAAGGACTTACAAGCCAGGGGTAGTGGTCATGTAGCCTTAAGATCTATCCAAAAGAGAGAGAATCTAGATTAAGACCATAAGCTAGAAAGATTAAGCATATGAAACCTCTAATCTACCCCATCTCAAACCCCAATGGGTAACTACTCACTAAACATAAATGTAAACACAAGCAAATCAATAAAAGAGACATCATAAGAAAGAGGAGATGAAATTAAACAACTTTTATTGAAATAAGCAAGTGCAAATACAAGAGAGATTATCCAGGATCTAAGATTCAAGAAGCAAGAGCTTCAAGAACACAAAGAGAGGATTAGATCTCTAAAAGTAAAAGTACAATAAAATTAAAAGAAGCTAAAACAAAAGTAATCTAAAGCTTGGTGGTTTTTTCGTGGCTAAGAGCCCTTAAATACAAAGAGGATTAGGTTTAGGGTCAAAGGGAAGTCAAGGGGGAAGCAACATTTTTCGGGTTTGACTTTGACTCCCCAGCTCGATCGAGTTGAAGCTTGGCCGGTCGAGTTGAGGAACTCGACCGGTTGGTCGAGTGGACGGTCGAGCTGGTCTTCAAGATGGCTTCTCCCTTCTTCCTTTGCGTATCCAGTTGAGCTGCTTCCATGTGCCAAGTCCCTCCATGCTCCTTGTGTCCCATATGCTCCAGAATGCTCCAAAAGACCTATTTCAAAGGACCAAACATGCATATGTATGCAAATGCAACCTAAAACTAACATGAATGCATAAGAAGAGAAAAGGAACAAGATATGATGCAAATGAAAGCTAAAACTATGCAAAAGATGCATAAAAGATGTGCTAAAACTATGTAAAATGCAAGTACATCAGGTCTACATAGAGAAATGCATTGGATAAGCTACATCGCCACGAGTCGACCCAAAAGATTAACCATCTTTGGTCAAATGCTGAGTATTGAGTCTAGTTGGAGTCCCACCCAAGTCCCACCCATGTTTCAAGAAACAAAGAATCCAAAAAGGGCCGCAACACAACAAAATCCGGCCATTGGAACACTATTGCACAAGGCAAAGGTAAGTAACACTTCCATTCAATTGTCATTCCTTTTAAACACTATTTCTATCATATTAAACCAATGGACACTACTTGGATCTCTGATCAAGACCCCAAGTACACATGGTTTACACGATCAAGTCTTTGATTGGGACGTTCAAACCTTTTTGAGCATCTCAATCATTGACAGAGATTAACAAAAAGAATACTAGTATTTTTCAGATTACAATATGACAGGAGAACCGGTTCAGAACATCAAACCAACAAGGCGAACAACAAAAGCCACGACCGGCCAAAGGAGGAGACCCAAGGAAAACATGCGAGACTAGGCGACGCCCTACCAAATTCGATCCATGAGGGATAGAAAAACAGTTCGGTCGCAGCAGAACTCAATTGGCCCGAGTAAAACAGGAGATATAACACTTACAACCACTCTCTCGGCCAATATCGACGAACCAAGCGACCACACTCGACCATCTCACAAACGGCACGTCCGACGTCCACCCAACTTCACAGGCGACCTCAAAACACAATTTTGGTCGGCAAATCCTAAGGATAGGACGGGAGAAAGTGCATGCATTTTGAGATGGACGAGGAGTGTCAATACGGCCGACGGCGATGCATCACATGGCCGATAAACTCAAAATCAAAGGAAGGCGCGAACTCCAGTGGAAACTGATTCGTTGGAACATAAAAAACACCAAGGAAGAAGAAAAGAAGGAAACGATCGAACGGAATACAAGACGGCCGGAGGAATCACATCCCGAAGCCATTGGCGAGCACATTCAAACATCTCCGAATCCGCCCGTTCGAACAGCCTCCAACTTCACAGGGAGCCATAAAAAATAAGGTTGGTCGATGAAATTTCATTTCAGTACGATGAATTCCTTCTAGTTCAAGAGATGGCCGAAGGAGTGAAATTTGGCCGATGCGGGCATGTAAAATGGCCGACAATACGAAATGACGGCATTTAGCGCGGCCACCGGCTAAAATCAACTCCATTAAGCATCTGCATAGCATCTAAGGAAGAAAATAGAGAATGGAACGTGCAGATTTGGAGAAGGCCGAAGGAAGACGTTCCCGGAGCCGCTTTGAAATTGTTTCAAAGAAAGCTTCAAATCACTCGTTCAAACGACCCCAAACTTCACCAGTCGCCATATTATACCCTATTGGTCGATGAAATTTCAAGCTGGGTCGAGGACATGATGATAGGATTTTGTGTGTGTGTGTGATATGAAATGAGGTGGTATGCAAACAGGGGTGAATAAAGATGATATGGTATGGTGCAATCACAATCAATCAATTCCTCTTAACCATCATAGTCATTGAAGTATAAGAGGTTATCAATCCAAAATGGGAACTTGTTACTCTTTGAGAGTATGAAACAACCTGAAAGTCAAGCAAGCAGTTATAGATTTGAAGTAACACTAACAACCTAAAAATAATGAAAAGCAGTGCAATAAAAGTAAACAAAGCAGTGAAGCGTCAGCTCGACCAAGAGCTCGAGTCGAGCTAGAGCAAAGTACCAGCTCGATCGAGTTTAGGGACGAGTTGAGACAAACAAAGCTAAAGGTGACGACTTTAACAAGATAAAGAGAGAATCAGGGTTCAAGACAGGGTTTTGCAATCAAAGGAATCTACACTTAATCAATCTAGCTCTTAAAACTCCTTGTATCAAGGCTTCTCTTGATATTGGGCTTCTCAATGCCTAGCCAACCCTTTCCCAAGGTGGAGGCTATCAACCAAGGAATGATCTCAGAAACAGGGGGTTAGCCAGTGAGAATCAGACCTTGGAGGCTATAGGATCATTGCCCAAACTAATCCATCCAACCCCTTAGACCTCTATTGTCTAGAGCAAGAGATATTGGAGCTCTTAGTGGATCTTTTCCAGCGAATGCCATCACTTTCGTGTGGGGAGTCGCCTAAGGACTTACAAGCCAGGGGTAGTGGTCATGTAGCCTTAAGATCTATCCAAAAGAGAGAGAATCTAGATTAAGACCATAAGCTAGAAAGATTAAGCATATGAAACCTCTAATCTACCCCATCTCAAACCCCAATGGGTAACTACTCACTAAACATAAATGTAAACACAAGCAAATGCAATAAAAGAGACATCATAAGAAAGAGGAGATGAAATTAAACAACTTTTATTGAAATAAGCAAGTGCAAATACAAGAGAGATTATCCAGGATCTAAGATTCAAGAAGCAAGAGCTTCAAGAACACAAAGAGAGGATTAGATCTCTAAAAAGTAAAAGTACAATAAAATTAAAAGAAGCTAAAACAAAAGTAATCTAAAGCTTGGTGGTTTTTTCGTGGCTAAGAGCCCTTAAATACAAAGAGGATTAGGTTTAGGGTCAAAGGGAAGTCAAGGGGGAAGCAACATTTTTCGGGTTTGACTTTGACTCCCCAGCTCGATCGAGTTGAAGCTTGGCCGGTCGAGTTGAGGAACTCGACCGGTTGGTCGAGTGGACGGTCGAGCTGGTCTTCAAGATGGCTTCTCCCTTCTTCCTTTGCGTATCCAGTTGAGCTGCTTCCATGTGCCAAGTCCCTCCATGCTCCTTGTGTCCCATATGCTCCAGAATGCTCCAAAAGACCTATTTCAAAGGACCAAACATGCATATGTATGCAAATGCAACCTAAAACTAACATGAATGCATAAGAAGAGAAAAGGAACAAGATATGATGCAAATGAAAGCTAAAACTATGCAAAAGATGCATAAAAGATGTGCTAAAACTATGTAAAATGCAAGTACATCAGGTCTACATAGAGAAATGCATTGGATAAGCTACATCGCCACGAGTCGACCCAAAAGATTAACCATCTTTGGTCAAATGCTGAGTATTGAGTCTAGTTGGAGTCCCACCCAAGTCCCACCCATGTTTCAAGAAACAAAGAATCCAAAAAGGGCCGCAACACAACAAAATCCGGCCATTGGAACACTATTGCACAAGGCAAAGGTAAGTAACACTTCCATTCAATTGTCATTCCTTTTAAACACTATTTCTATCATATTAAACCAATGGACACTACTTGGATCTCTGATCAAGACCCCAAGTACACATGGTTTACACGATCAAGTCTTTGATTGGGACGTTCAAACCTTTTTGAGCATCTCAATCATTGACAGAGATTAACAAAAAGAATACTAGTATTTTTCAGATTACAATATGACAGGAGAACCGGTTCAGAACATCAAACCAACAAGGCGAACAACAAAAGCCACGACCGGCCAAAGGAGGAGACCCAAGGAAAACATGCGAGACTAGGCGACGCCCTACCAAATTCGATCCATGAGGGATAGAAAAACAGTTCGGTCGCAGCAGAACTCAATTGGCCCGAGTAAAACAGGAGATATAACACTTACAACCACTCTCTCGGCCAATATCGACGAACCAAGCGACCACACTCGACCATCTCACAAACGGCACGTCCGACGTCCACCCAACTTCACAGGCGACCTCAAAACACAATTTTGTCGGCAAATCCTAAGGATAGGACGGGAGAAAGTGCATGCATTTTGAGATGGACGAGGAGTGTCAATACGGCCGACGGCGATGCATCACATGGCCGATAAACTCAAAATCAAAGGAAGGCGCGAACTCCAGTGGAAACTGATTCGTTGGAACATAAAAAACACCAAGGAAGAAGAAAAGAAGGAAACGATCGAACGGAATACAAGACGGCCGGAGGAATCACATCCCGAAGCCATTGGCGAGCACATTCAAACATCTCCGAATCCGCCCGTTCGAACAGCCTCCAACTTCACAGGGAGCCATAAAAAATAAGGTTGGTCGATGAAATTTCATTTCAGTACGATGAATTCCTTCTAGTTCAAGAGATGGCCGAAGGAGTGAAATTTGGCCGATGCGGGCATGTAAAATGGCCGACAATACGAAATGACGGCATTTAGCGCGGCCACCGGCTAAAATCAACTCCATTAAGCATCTGCATAGCATCTAAGGAAGAAAATAGAGAATGGAACGTGCAGATTTGGAGAAGGCCGAAGGAAGACGTTCCCGGAGCCGCTTTGAAATTGTTTCAAAGAAAGCTTCAAATCACTCGTTCAAACGACCCCAAACTTCACCAGTCGCCATATTATACCCTATTGGTCGATGAAATTTCAAGCTGGGTCGAGGACATGATGATAGGATTTTGTGTGTGTGTGTGATATGAAATGAGGTGGTATGCAAACAGGGGTGAATAAAGATGATATGGTATGGTGCAATCACAATCAATCAATTCCTCTTAACCATCATAGTCATTGAAGTATAAGAGGTTATCAATCCAAAATGGGAACTTGTTACTCTTTGAGAGTATGAAACAACCTGAAAGTCAAGCAAGCAGTTATAGATTTGAAGTAACACTAACAACCTAAAAATAATGAAAAGCAGTGCAATAAAAGTAAACAAAGCAGTGAAGCGTCAGCTCGACCAAGAGCTCGAGTCGAGCTAGAGCAAAGTACCAGCTGATCGAGTTTAGGGACGAGTTGAGACAAACAAAGCTAAAGGTGACGACTTTAACAAGATAAAGAGAGAATCAGGGTTCAAGACAGGGTTTTGCAATCAAAGGAATCTACACTTAATCAATCTAGCTCTTAAAACTCCTTGTATCAAGGCTTCTCTTGATATTGGGCTTCTCAATGCCTAGCCAACCCTTTCCCAAGGTGGAGGCTATCAACCAAGGAATGATCTCAGAAACAGGGGGTTAGCCAGTGAGAATCAGACCTTGGAGGCTATAGGATCATTGCCCAAACTAATCCATCCAACCCCTTAGACCTCTATTGTCTAGAGCAAGAGATATTGGAGCTCTTAGTGGATCTTTTCCAGCGAATGCCATCACTTTCGTGTGGGGAGTCGCCTAAGGACTTACAAGCCAGGGGTAGTGGTCATGTAGCCTTAAGATCTATCCAAAAGAGAGAGAATCTAGATTAAGACCATAAGCTAGAAAGATTAAGCATATGAAACCTCTAATCTACCCCATCTCAAACCCCAATGGGTAACTACTCACTAAACATGAATGTAAACACAAGCAAATGCAATAAAAGAGACATCATAAGAAAGAGGAGATGAAATTAAACAACTTTTATTGAAATAAGCAAGTGCAAATACAAGAGAGATTATCCAGGATCTAAGATTCAAGAAGCAAGAGCTTCAAGAACACAAAGAGAGGATTAGATCTCTAAAAGTAAAAGTACAATAAAATTAAAAGAAGCTAAAACAAAAGTAATCTAAAGCTTGGTGGTTTTTTCGTGGCTAAGAGCCCTTAAATACAAAGAGGATTAGGTTTAGGGTCAAAGGGAAGTCAAGGGGGAAGCAACATTTTTCGGGTTTGACTTTGACTCCCCAGCTCGATCGAGTTGAAGCTTGGCCGGTCGAGTTGAGGAACTCGACCGGTTGGTCGAATTGACGGTCGAGCTGGTCTTCAAGATGGCTTCTCCCTTCTTCCTTTGCGT